GATTTGCAATGGGATGCAATTGAGTCGATCAGTTCGTCAGATGGAGAGTCAGAGATTGGAAACTTTACTGACAGTGATGATGATGATGATGATGATGATGCTTGGGATGCTTCTACCCCATTAGATACCGACACCATCTCACCTGATGTCAGTGAAAACGTGGATGATTCGCTGGAGAGTCCAGCGGCTGTGGAGAAGGGAATTGTAGACTCTCCAGCAAGCCCGGATTTCGAGTCTCCAGAGAGCCCAGCGGCTGTGGAGACGGGGATTGTAGACGTTCCCGCAAGCCCGGACCACGAGTGTCCAGAGAGCCCAACACCCGAGGAGAAAGGACTTGTAGACTCTCCAGCAAGCCCAGATCCAGAGTCTCCAGAGAGCCCAGCTCCCGAGGAGAAAGGACTTGTAGACTCTCCAGCAAGCCCAGATCCAGAGTCTCCAGAGAGCCCAGCTCCCGAGGAGAAAGGACTTGTAGACTCGCCAGCAAGCCCAGATCCAGAGTCTCCGGAGAGCCCAGCACCCGAGGACTCTGATTCAATGGAGATGGATCCGCCTGACTCTACTATATCAGAGGTAGCACCAGTGATTCTAACGAATGTTGGGGCTGCACCACCACCGAATTCAGCGGATGAGACAGAACCATTTGTTCGAGTGGGGGAAGTTGTTTGCCCACCAGCAGATGAGATGGAATCTGTTCGAATTTTCATACCCGAAGAATGGGAAAGTGTGATGCCGGAAAGGGCTATGAAGAAAAAGCTGAGAGAAATCATTAATCGCCATTATAAAGTTGGTGCAACTTTTGTAACAATGGGAGATGTTCGAGCCAAGCTGATATTCTGTCCTCATGGAAGTATGTACTTTCGACCAATGGGATCATTTACACATCCCAAGCGATTGTCAACCACTAGTAAAATCTATCCAGAGGTAACTTAATAACAAAATTCTACCATCTTATCAATCTGCTAACTGAATTACTAATTTCTTTCATTTTTTGTCTGTTTCAGTTGTAATTTTCGAGGGAGAATTATTTTGAAAAAGTGTCATCCACAATCTGACAATTAAACAATGAAAAATTTTATTACCTGCGTTCTATTATTGTTTTAAATTAATAAAATTTAAATGTTGAACTAAAAAAAAAATGGAAAATATTATTGTAATAATCTATGCTTTGAAAACTCTGTAATATTATTCCGTAAAAATATCTACGCATATATATATGTATTGAATAATAGTATATTATGCAACACGTGCGTAATATATTTTTTGACTCGTGGGGGGTTTGTAACACGAGCCGAAGGCGAGTTTTACAATCCCACGAGTCGAAAAATATATTACGCACGCGTTTCATACAAAATTTTATGTCATCGCGCCCGGAATCCGCGATTTAACCGAGCGAAGCGAGGTTAGAATCGCGCGATTACGGGCACCGATGGCATAAAGAATATTTTCTCCACTTGAAATCTCTGTCAATACTCCATTCCTAACCATCCACCAGATGTAAACATTCAGAGTTTACACGCCAGACAACTAGAGTGAGACAGGCAACTTTTGGCGGCTCAGACGCTTGAGTGACAGAGAGAGATAGCGGAAGAGTGGGGATCATGTGGCGACTGGGCCAACGTTGTCTTGCAGCCTCGCTTTGTCAGTACATCTAACGAAATCGAAGCATCAAGTAAGTGTAGTGAAGCGTGAAAATTTTTTAGTGAATTTCAAAGTGTCATCAGTGTATTTTAATAATTAACGATTGTTTTTTATGTTTTAGTGAAACTTGAAGTGTACGTTTTCCCGGATCCTGAGATGAGGCAGGAGTGGGAAGAAGACGATGGTCGGATGGAGAATTGGTGGTTGGACCAGCTGGAGAGAACTTGGGAAAAAATCCCAAGATATTATGGCATCATTCACAGTCTTGAGGTACCCATGGACTTGGTGGCGAAGTTCATGGCGTATCTCGGAGAGCATTTTTACGCAAATAATGTAAGTTATCTACCACAATCAGTGATCCTTTTTACATATTTCTTCTTCAACTAATGTATAATTTTTGGTTATAGGAATCACGGCTCCATCAGGTGTTGAGAGAATTCCTCAATTTTCTCCGGCTGGTTCACCGTGAGGATGATGGAGATGCTGCCTCACACTCACGCCATTGATTCTGGGCATCCAGAATCATTACAACACATAATGTAAATATCAATCGATTTTTTCATTCTATGATCGTCATCACTCCGCTATGCATTGAAATTAATAAAAAGAAAATATTTTGTATGTTTCAGGTGCATGCTTCAGACAACTTTTTTATTACAACTTTTTTATTACAACTACCTCTGAACACTTAGAATAAGAAGTTTTTCAATATATATATATAACAAAAAACAAAATTTTCAGTTTGCCCATTTTATTTTAGAACCATCCTTATTTCAGTTTATTTTTACAAACAAGTTTAAGGGTTTTCCACGTTATTGAAGAGGGATGGGTTGAACTCGCCGTCCAGGAAAGTGATCTCCACACGTTCAGCAGCAGCAGCCTCACGGTATTTCTCTAGCTTGGTTGGATCCTGTTGGAAGGCGTTGGACAGTCGTGGTGGCAGATAAACGATGCACTCATCGTTCAGAGCGACAACCACTTTAGCACCAAATTTAGTTGAGATCACCTTCAGATCGGTGACTAAATACTTCTGGTTAAGTGACAGCTCCGTTCGACGTTTGGTTGGTAGGAAATTTTCTCAAGTCGCAATTTTGTTGATGTCATGAAGATCCAGGGCTTGCTTCTCCATTTTGATTTATTTGGTTCTCTCCTCGATTCACTTCGTCTGAGAAAAAATTTCGTGAGACTGCAGTTATAGGCTGGAGACTGAATGATGAATCAGTTGCTTTACTCCAGCTACTTATAGGTTCTTCGCAAGTGGAGGGGGAATGCAATTTTCATTTACAATTTCAATCGAAAAACAATTCCAAGAAAATTAGGCAATCTGCATCCAACGGTTAAATTTTTCCTCGAAAGGTAACGGCTTTCATAATTCTAA